AACACCAACATCCATCCTCTATTTTCAGTGCATTTGGGAATGCTGAGGCTACAGATCAAACTACGCCTTTCTAGAAGTTTTGTCACTTGGCTCCGTGATTTTCTAACCTCGGTTTTAAGCAGACTGAGGAAACAGTTTGTTCATTTGAAGAAACGCCCTCTGGTCTCCATGGTCCCTGCTCAAAACTTTTTACAGGGACTTCTCTCTGCTGATGCAAATCAGGTTTTGTTTCCTATTTCTTCTCTCTCACATCTTGTTAAGCTGTTCACGTGCAGCAGCTGCAAACACTCATTTTATTCCGTCATGTTTTCAAGCAAAATATTTTTAGCAATGCACTGGAAAGTCTTGAAGCATCTATTAGAAAAAAATAAAATACCACGTCATGTGTTGCATGCACGTAATTATAACAGATCTCCCCAATCTGCACCAAGATCTCCACGGCAGCATTTGGGAACACTGTTGTGTACTGGTCCCCACACCAAGCTGTCGAGTACAGGGTCCTGGCAATGCATCCGAACACAGAAGAGCAGCACTGGAGAGTCAGGTCTGACCCTACCATGATTCGTAACTGGGGTTGTCCCACATTTTCCTCTGAAAACAGAGGGATAGCTTGTTTCACCCTTGACGCAGAAGCCGTTTTGTTATCATTTAATCACAGCACCTCTGAAACGCTGAACCTCCTGGCACCTGCAGAGGTTTGGCAAGGAGCGCCCACCCAGGAGTGCCTCCAGCACTCTGCTATGAGCAAGGGGGTGTAAGGGAGGGATCACCCGTCCCTTCCAGCACTGGAAGGGGACCCTGCAATGAGGCAGGACTGCGGCCAAGGCCAGAGCATCACCCGTGGCAGCGCACTCCCAGAAGCGGTGCCACAGCACTTCACCTATCTCGTGTTCAGGGAAGGGCCTGGGTTCAGGCACAGGCCCTGGCAGCACAGAGCGTGCCCGCATGGGATAAAGGCACAGACAGAAGTCGCAGCTCTGCAGCGGGAGTCAGAGACACTTCTGCAGAGAAGGAGCTCTGTGACCTACTGGGAGTTGCCAAAAAACACGGTGGGGATGGTGTGAGACAAGAAACGTGCTGAGGCCAACCGTGGGGACCTCAGGGAGCCGGGGCAGGGCAGGGGCACATCTACATGTGCCGAGTTGAAAAATGTGCCGACACATCCAAGCTCATCCCTCAGTGAGGAAAAGTCAGTCTTTTCTCAATGGCTGCAAGACTCTGGGGCTGGTTTTGCTGCTGATCAAGGGCTGCTCATCCCCACCGAGCTGTGGCTGCCTCTTCCCCTGGGGCTCAACACGACATTTATCTGGGAACAAAAACTCCCTCGGCGCTACCACACACGCTCATGCCAAAGCCTCATGCCGGATTATTTTTCCTTGTAAGCGATGCTGAAAGCAATGCACAAGGGCAGGACACATGAAAACTAAGAAGGGATAAATAAAATGTGCTGCTCATCCCCACCGAGCTGTGGCTGCCTCTTCCCCTGGGGCTCAACACGACATTTATCTGGGAACAAAAACTCCCTCGGCGCTACCACACACGCTCATGCCAAAGCCTCATGCCGGATTATTTTTCCTTGTAAGCGATGCTGAAAGCAATGCACAAGGGCAGGACACATGAAAACTAAGAAGGGATAAATAAAATGTCCCTCCAGCCTCCAGGCCTGCAGCGGCAGGGACACATACACGGGCTGACAGAGCGAAGGGAAGCAGCTCCACACAGAGAGGGACAGGGACCAGCACCAGCCAAAACTGTACCCCTGGTTCCTGGGTAAAGGGGTGGGAGGGGACGTAGTGCCAACCCCTACCTTCACCTTTCCACTGCCTCGCTCCCTGCTGTCAGCAGCTGGAGCAAGGGTCTGAGATGCGCAGCAGCACTTTTCCCACCTCCACCATCTCTCCTGGGGATCCTACTCATACCCGAGACTCACCATACCACAGCAGCTCGCTGCTGAGGATGATAAATCTGTGCCGAGCAGAACGGTCATGTCCGAAACATCTGGTTTCTCCACGGAGCATCACCAGGGTTTTGGTCAGCAGCACATCAGCGCTGCCACTGGCACCGCTCAGGCAGGGACGTGGCCATGAGGGACAAGCCAAGCCAAGGGATAACCCGGCAGCATGGTTACATACCCCTCCTCGGTCCAACAGCAGAGGGACGCCACTGGCATTTGTCCTCTGGTCACCTCTGCACCATGGCACTGCAGCACAGAAGGACCCAAAAAAATGATACCCTTCCCTCCTCAGAGACAGATCTGGATGGGGGGATATGGCCGAGACCACTGGTACTCTGCGAGACGCCCATATCCTGCAATATCAAGTATTATACAGTAAAAACCTTTAAAACAAAAATTTAATCTTCTGTGCCTCTTGGTGATGAAGCTACACTTTTCCTTTTCCAGAAAAAGGCTCTTTCCTCTGTTGCTCTTTTCAACTTGAAGAAAGCAGAAGTCCCCGGTCTGGTCTCTCAATGCGTTTGGGGAGGTCTCTATGCCTCAGGCTCCCCCTCGCCCACCAAGTCTTCAACACCATCATTAGTGCTCCGCCATAGCAGAGCATCACCACCACTCAGCTTGCCACTGCCCCACGGCCATGGTGTGGTCTCAGGGGGAGTGTGAAATTAAATGTGTTCTTTCATTAGGAATAATTAAGAACCCACCTTTGATAAAAGCCTTGGAAGATTTCTTCTCATACTGAAGTGGCAGGGAAAAAAGGCACTACCACATCAGCACAGACAAGATGATGACCTCCTTCAGAGTAGTCCCAGAACAGTCACTATGAGTTATTTAAGGATTAACCAGCACGGATGACAAATGAGGGCTCCAGCCCAGTTAGTCCTTGGCTCCTTTACCAGGTCTGCCAAGAGAGGGGCTTTTCGTGTTAGCAGCTTTATTCTTTGGTGGACATCTGTCCACAAAAACCTGGACAGAGGCCATCAGATCACAGGCCACCTAACACAGATGACAGACTGTAACGGCTTCTGGCAACCACCAGCCGAGCGTCACAGGCACTTGCCAAGTCCTTGAGTCATCTAATAAAAATGCAGATTTTTCAAAGTCTACTTCGCTACATTTTGTGCATATTCCTGTAGGCTTGTGGTCACGATCAGCCTCTCTACGCTGCTCAGCTCCTCCAGCAGCTACTATGGAAACCAGGAGCAGCACCCGTTTCTCAAGGGCAGATAGTTCAGGGGGTTGGGTTTTCAGCATTTTGGATTTTGGAAGCATTGCAAGAAAAGGCGTGTTTCATCAGGAGCTCGAGTAATTCCTACGACCCCTCACTTGCAGAGGGTAAAAGAGTTAAACAGGTACCAAGCAGCACAGCAGGGCCAACCTCCAACTGCTCCCATCATTCCAAAAGAGAAACTTTAAATGGCTCAGCATGCCAACATCACATTCTTACCAAGCCAATCTTCTCCACAGCAAGAGCATTATTGGCTATCTGGGGGAGCACAGCTGATACAGCCTTGCTAGGAGGTGTTGCATGCCACAGCGAGGGGAGATTAATGCAAAGAATTTAAGGTCAATGGTTTGGGCCAGCTGCTATTTATAAAGAGGATGGAAAGCAGAACAGCAGTATCACCTCTAGGCCTAAGAAACGTATAGGCAAGGAGGACACACTTCAACCCATTTGCAGCTTTTTCCATCTCCAAACCAGCAAATTTCAGAAAATTTTCTCCTCTGTTCTAGTGCTGTGGTCAGCACTTGCTCTCTGCCATTAGAGGGGAAGGGAGGTTATACGCAAAGCCCTGACAACAGCGCTGTCTCTAACACAACATGTGGCATGCCAGAGTTCAGAAACCCAGGGCATATGTAAAAGCCCTAGAGCCTATAGCCTTGCAAAGCCTCTCCACAGCTAAAAATAAGCCTCTTGTACACTATATTCCACATATTCAGTGGTCTTCCTTTTTAAAGGGAACCTACCTAACACCATGGCCAGGTGCAGAGATAGGAGGGACACTTTCACAACTAGGACAGGAGTGAGGTCGAATGCTAACTTTTCAGGTTGACTTGAAAAAAGCAATTTCTTCAGGATCTGTTGATAGATACAAGTATTTAGTTTATAACACCGGACGTGAAAACAAGCAGTTATCAACTATTTGAATGTTAGCAACATAGATTGTTTCTGCTGAAAACAGAAAAAGCAGAAGGACCCCAAAATGTCCTAACAGGACCAACAAGATCAAAGCATCCAATCTGCATGTATTCAACTCATACATAAGCTGTTATTTCAAATGCATTTTTCACAGAGCAACAAAAACCCATTACATCATTTAGAGGTTTCATGGAGGTCAGATGCATCAAATAGAAAAAAGTGTTTGTCCAGAATGCCTTCAGGGCACTCTTTAAAACATTTGCTCAGTATGTTCAAGTATAAACATACAAGAATTTCACAAACGTTATTGACTAAAGCTAAGAGCTACAGGGGAAAAGTACAATCTCATACACGTTATAAAAAAATGTAGCTGACAGAATCCAACAGCCAAAGCCAAAATCACTAATGCCCCTGGATGGTGGTCACACCTCGAATTCAAGGGCCAGAAGTTTTCCCTATAACCTGAGTTTCATTTTCTGAGTTCTGTAAAATTTACAGAAAGGTAAAAATAGGAGAGCTTTTACTTCCCACCTCTTTGCTGAATGTTACTGCCATGGGAACGTGTTCTGCACGCTGCCAGTTTCTTCTCGGATAATTTCCTATTTCTCCACTAAGCCTCTGGCTCACACATGACTCAGTTTTAGCACTTCAGTGAGATAAGCATGTGCCCCATCCTATACTTAAAATTAGCAGAGCAAACCACAGCCCTTTCTTAAGAGCCTAAGATAATCAGTCCTGCTCTTCAATGAAAAACGTGCTGGTTTATATCAGGAACCAACTCGAGCTACTCCCATGCCTGGGGAAGGGATGAACAACAGAAAGCTAAGTCCAGCAGGGGGCTGGTAACTGCAGCATACATCTATTCTTCTAGATCCAGGGAGATTAAACCTTCCAACAAAAATAACATCAAGGCAGATAAAATAGTTTAATATAGAGCAAGAACAAGTGTTGCATAAAAATAAGCAAAATCTTTTTCTTAAAAACCAAAAAAGTCCAAGAAGTTGTATTTAAAAGAAAAGCTGTTTGGATATTGATCGTGAAGGTGACTCATGAAGCGCAGGAGCTACAGCACCGTTCTACAGGAGCTCAGGATGTTCCTAGCTTCTCCATCCACTAAATCCAGAGGAAGATCTGTGGAGCAAGAAAAATAACCAAACAACACAGCAATGAGTGCTAAAGTATCCCTCAGCAGCATTAATTCAGCAGATCTCTCAAACTTTCAGTCTCCCTCGTATCAGAAGCTCATTATGAGAACGTATTGGTATTTTTACCTGAGATTGCATCAACACATACTAACTAGATATAATTACACTTATTCTAGAGCCTACCATCTGGAGATATACATGCTTTCTCTACTTGACAGGGAAATAAGGTAAAAGACACTTGCTAGAAGTAATCCAGCAAAGCAGTGACAAAGTGGGTGACAGAGTTAAACTCAGCTCCTAGTCCTGTTCTTTAACTGTAAATCATCATCCTAATTCAGACAGAAAAGTACCAATTTATTTCATTTCTTGTTTCAACCTGATAAATGGAGTAGATACTAGATTCACACACACAGCTTGAGCACACACATCATGTGCTCAAGAGGTGGAGAAAGAGCATGATGGAACTGAAAATTCTCTCTTACACAGAAGATTAACCTCACTGGAAAGAACACACTCAGAGCCTGGAGTTTGAGCTCTATGCAGTGCCACTAAGAAGGAAATCAGAACTAGTGTGATTACTGCTACTTTTAAAGCTGGTTCTTGTAAACCATTCAACTCTTTTATACTGATTCCATGTGTATTTTTAATGAAGCGTTGGACACAAAACGGTACTTACGTGTTAGATGATCCAAAACCAAACCCTGAAAGAAATACAAGATCGGAAAAAATAATTGTTAAAAAGTAAAACGAATGCATAAGATTTGTAGCAAACGTTCCCTCCCATCCACAGATTGAAAAACATTTCTCTCCTGCCTTAGGCCAGGG